CATCCATCCATCCATCCATCCATCCATCTATATACTTATCCATTCATCCACACATCCATCCATCCATTCATATACTCATCCATCCATCCACACATCCATCCATCCATCCATCCATCCATCCATCCATCCATCCATCCATATACTCATCCATCCATCCACATACCCATCTATCCATCCATCTATCCATCCACTCATTCATCTACCAACCCAACCATCCCTCCATCCCTCTGTCTGTCTGCCCATCTGCCTGCCATCTATCTACCCACCATCCCTCAGGAGGCTACTTTCCCGGATGATGCCCACTATGAGCAGAAAGGAAAAGCCCACTCCCTGAGAGGTGGCTTGTGGAGGGTTTATGGGAAGAGATGTGCAGTCAGGTCTGGCCCCCAGGCAGCCGAGCAGAGCCTGCTGGGGTGCAGAGCAAGACCTGCGTGTGCTGGGGAGCTGGGGCCCTGGTCAAGGTGTGCCTCCAGGAGCCCCTCCCTGCTCACAGCCCTCTGACAGCAACCACTCTCCCTTCAGGACGTGTGAGGTGTCCACTGGGTGTCCGTCCATCTGTCTGTCTATCCTAGCAATGACACCACCCCTGCTCCTGTGCCTGGCTGCTGGCCCTCTAGCAGGAAGTGTGAGTTTGTCACCCAGGCTCTCTCTGTCCGTCTGTCCTAGCAATGGCGTCTGCTCCCCTACCTGGCAGCTACCTTCGCCCTACAGCACTTCTCCAGGTCCCTGTTCATGGACCTGATGGAGCTTCAGCGAGGCCGCAACAGACAGGACCGGGGCCCCCGACACGTGAGCCACACCCCTGACCCGGGACCCTCCCAAGAGGCAACCTTATTCAGAACGCCCGCGGGTGCCCCACAGGCTGCCTTTCTACAGTCCCCTCTGGGGACAGAGGGCTCTGCACGCTGCTTCGCTGGCCCGGGTTTCTCAGCCCGACCCTGCTGTAAACAACATGGTGACAAATGTGGGGTGACATCCAGTGGGGGCTGTATGCCAGGAGTCCTGTCATACCCCCTAAGGGTGGGGCTTTGTGGTTACTGGGGCAAGCAGAGAGAGGAAGGGCTCTGAGGGCAGATTCCCCATGGCACCCTGAAAAGTCTGTATCCAATTGCCAAGGGTGAGGCTGTTTCCCGTAAACTCCCAGAGGGAGTGGGCAGGCCGGTGGGAAGCAGCATCCAGCACAGAGCCCTGAGAGACCCAAGGGAAGGGGAGGATTAATGCCTGTTTTCCTGATAATGAGTCCCCCTGGCTTTCCCAGGGCCACATGGCTTCGGTCTGTGCCCTGCGCAATGCTCATAGCCAGTCCCTGGCTGACCACAGCTTCAAAAACACCACCCACACGCCCCTGC